GAAGTCGGACGCCCAACCGACTGAGCCACCCAGGCGCCCCATGACCTTTTTTCATCTAGACCCAGAATCAGCTGACAGGCCGAACGGTGGATCCTGGGCAGGGGCAGAGCCAAAACAGGGGTTTCCTGGGTGAAAGGGTCTGCGAGGTGCTCTGTTCTTAAAGAACAAACTACAGAAGCCATGCCCTCGACTCAAACACCGTGAGCTAGACGACAGCCCCAAGCAGGGCACCCGGATGGAGATGGGGAGACTGGCGTTGGCACACGGGGGCCAGGGATGAGGAATCACGGAGGGGCCGGCTCCAGCGAGAGGCAAGACACGTGCCCGAGGTCAGGGGAGCCTGGGGCCCCCATGAGGACCTGCACAGCCCCCTCCTGGGGTGACCGGACAAGCCAGGCCTCAACCCCCTAGCTAGGTGGACAGTCCCCACAGCAGTTGTCTCCTCGCGGGGAACACACCCCGGGAGCGGGCAAGGGGACCCCGAGGGCGTAGGGAAGAAGAAACTAGGATCTCTGTCCGTATTTACTTTTCATCTCTATGAGACAAGAAGTTAGGTTTTGCTAAATGTTCAAATATAAAATATAAAAGTTCAAACACCTGGCCTTCTTCCCCCACTGCCGTCAGAGTCCCACGTCGGGCCGCATGCGAGCTGGGTGGGGAGACCAGAAGGGAGACATGGGGCGTGGGGGGGGTGGTATTTGCTTTCAGTGGGGTGACACACGGTGCTATTTCTCTGTTCCCACGCACGTGGGTGTACCGCTTACGTGGTTCTCGCTGAGCAAACCCTCTTAAGATGGCAAGTGGCTTCAAAAGACTCTTGAAAAGGAACAGCGACCGAAGAGCAGTCTCAGGAGGCGAGTGCAGTGAGCCATGATAGCGGACATTTCTACTCCCAGAAAAGCTCTCCGTCGGCCACACAAGGAAAAACAGTAACATCTGCTGAGAGGTGAGCCCCCAAACTCGAGATGTTTCACAAAGATACTTCACATAGGAAATGTCCGCTCTTCACGGTGCGTGACTGTCTCTTCCTGTATAATGACGACTGTCAAGCCACCATGGTCACAGAGGATGCAGATCCGGAAGATGAAGACAAACCTCCATGATGTTTTCAGTGAGATTTAAGCCCATAAAACGCGAACTCTATACGCCTTAAGCAGCGTTTGCTAAATAGCGTCGTAAACGCTTAGGACTCTTTTAAGAGCAAAACACAAGTAGCATACCATCTAGAAAATACTGTTCTTCCTGCTGTGGAAACATGGTGAAATGTTGAAATATTCAATGTGAGTATTGAAATACTCGTGAAATGGCTGAGGGGGGAAAAAAACAGAAAAAAAAAACATCTTATTTTGCCAGGAAGTACTACCAGGTAACAGGGAAAAAACACTGCAGAAGAAGTAACAAGAAGTAAGTTCAGGAATACACTTTTCAGTGGGGGGTGGGGGGGTGGGGGGGGTAAGAGGACAGATGTTTCCGGCACGTCCCAGCTTATGGCTTCGCCCCGAGAACGGAAGAGTCTGGATATTAACAAAATTAAGTAGCGAGGAGGATAGAGGTCTCAAGATTAGTACGTGTTTTGACAAAGGCCACGTTTTAGGACAAACTACGTAGGTCAAGCCGTGGAGGGGATCACCTCGGCCGGAACCTGTGTGCAAGGAGAGCCGGGTGGGCCCCGCGGTAAAGGCGTCAGCAGCGGCATCCCTGGAACGCACGTCAGACAAGGAATGCGCCCCGCCACGACGACATCGCCAATTTTATCAAATGGACACCTTGAAGACGGAACAGAATGTTCACGGTATTTTATGACAGGAAATACCCATGAAAAATATTTTGGTCCACGTACATTTCGCTCTCTCAGGGTAAAATACTTTCGGAGGAACCGTTCACAGGCGCCTGGGTGGCTCAGCCAGTTAAGCATCGGACTTCGGCTCAGGTCACGGCCTCCTAGTTCGTGAGTTTGAGCCCCGCATCGGGCTCTGTGCTCGTAGCGCAGAGCCCGCTTTGGATCCTCTGTCTCCTGCCTCTGCCCCTCCCCGACTCACGCTCTCTCAAAAATAAATTTAAAAAAATTAAAAAGTTTTATTTGGAAATAACAGAGGAAGCCACCACTCTCGCGGGTGCAGGACGGACAGGAACCACAGCGTGTGGCCGACAGCAGCATGCGCGGTCTCTGCCCAGTACAGTGATGAAAATACTTCCAGACTCCCGTGTCCAGTGTATGCCGTGTGTGTCACAAGAAGTTCTTTGCAGAACTGGAAAACGACCAGAGCCCTGAAAACCAAACACTAGAATAAACAGATTAGAAGCAGACATTTCAATCACACAGAAGGGATTCAAACAAGGTTTTCAAAAACAAAAAATTTCCATCTTTTAGAAGTTAAGTACTTCAGGGGCTCCTGGGGGGCTCAGTCGGTTGAGCGTCCGACTTCGGCTCAGGTCACGATCTCACGGTTCGTGAATTCGAGCCCCGCGTCGGGCTCTGTGCTGACAGCTTGGAGCCTGCTTTGGATTCTGTGTGTCCCTCTTTCTGCCCGTCCCCTGCTCACTCTCTCTCTGTCTCTCTCAAAAATAAACAAACATTAAAAAATAAAAGAAATTAAGTATTGCACAATTTACAGACAACAGACTGTTTCAATCTCTCCTCTTTCACTAGTGCATGTCTGCTAAAACGCATAAGGTAGTATCTGGAAGGGAATCTGTTACTTATTTCCAAGTGTATCAACCAGTGTTTGGGGTGGGGGCTCCCAGGGATGAGAGATGGCCCTTCAACGGGCAGGCGGTGGGGAGGGAGAAAGACCACGAGGTGCGTGGAGGGCACGCGTAAGGCCAAGGGCACAGACCTTGTGACCCACACGTGGAGGGGTCCAGGAAGGCCGTGAAACCACAGCAACAGAGACCGCGTTCTAGAAGAATCCGACCCGGGGACAACGCTGAAGGGGCAGAATCTCGGCAGCAGATCAGGACCAGCGTAAAAAGCAGCAAGGGCACAAGACAGGGAGCCCGCATGCCAGTTCCTCCGTCAGGAGCTTCCTGGAGTTTATCCTGCGCCAGGGACTGTGGCGAACCCCACACGCCACAGAGAACCCGCCCACGAGGAGCTCATCGGCTCACGAGGAAGCAAGCGTGCAAACGCGTGATCTGATTAAAGTGCAGCATGACTGAATTCGTGATCTCTGCGGGAAACACGGAGAATGGGGGCCAGGAACCGAGTTGCGCACCAGGCCGCCCACACCTAGACCCGCCCACGCTCATCACTGTCCTGGCTGCGCGTGCACTGTTCTTACTGACGTCTGCTGGGCGGACTAGAGCCGGACAGAGGTGACCTTCTAGTTAAATGACACACGCTTCTAGAGAACAGGCAGCCGTCGGAGAAAGACGCCGGGGCTCCGATGTGTTTCCAGTTCCCCAAGGCTAAGAACCGTCTCTGCTCAGATCTAGCGGCCACTCCTCCCACACCGGGGCTGCCCCTCACCACGCCCCTTATCGTGCTGGCTCGTCCCCGGGTTCGAGGCCTGTCCTCAGCGTCGCAGTCTGTCCTGAAGGGAGC